ACATGTTGACAAATGTGTTCTTCAGAGGCTTACCTTGTGTCTGAACGTCGGGTGCATCATCCAATTTAGAAAACATCATTTGGAAGGTCTGGATGGCTTCATCATAGTGTCGTGCACCATGAAGTGCTGTGTGCTTCAAATTGTATCCAAGATAAGACAAAGAGTCGAGTTCAATGACCTATGTATCGCCACAATGAGCGCTGGTTATGCAACGATAGATGCCATCGCACCTTCTGCCCATCAAGAGATGCTTCCATCCATAGCATTTTGCCCAAATTTGCCTTACTACAATTTGCAAAGATAGCATCAGATGCAAAATTCAGGTTGATTGCCGTCGAGTATAGGACAATAGCCCTGTCATAATCATTCACAGTGAGGGCGGCATCTCCGTTCACAGCACAGAGCACGCTGCATTCTTGCTTTAAAGCTGAGTGAAATATGGGTGAGGATTGTAGTCTACATGATACCACGGATTCCGGACTTGGCGTTGGACCAGTCAAGGCAGTCAGCTGTGGTATTTTCGCCAATGGCATCCTTCATGTTTTGGTATGCTTCAAGGGCTTCATCAGGTTTACCTGCCAAAAGGAATGCCTGGCACCATTTCCGATGTGTGGTGAACAACAACAATTTGAGATGGTTTGCATTGAACCGGATGGGTCCGAGATCCCAGCCGAAGAGCTGGACTAAGCACTCAGTTATGAAAAGTGTTATGTATACATCATCTTGACACACCGCAGTCAAATCCTCGTGTATCAAATGAGTGTTTTGCGATGAGAAAGCGCCCAAGTTAACAGTGGTAGTAAAGTGGTTAGCGGCTTCATCGTAACACATGTCACTCAAGGCTTTGGTTCCGAGCTGAGTACGAAAATATGCCTAATGTGTGAGTGGCAAAGAATCTTAGGCTTGCTGACAGAACATGGCCGCGTGATACTCACTTCCACGACATGACACCCGAGAGCATCAGCATTCGGAAAAACGGCAGCCAGCTCCTCGATGAGCAGCATTGCTTCCTCGTGTCGCTCTGCATTGAAGAGTGCGATGGCCTGAAATATGCAATGAGGTAGAAAATATGTGAGATAGATTTAATGTACCTTGATCAAGAGAAGGAAATGGTTGGTGGCTGGACTTTGGTTCATTAATGTGGATGTGACATCAAATGCTGCCCTCGTGTCCTGGGCTTGGCCTTTTCCACAGAGAGTGATACCTTTAGAAATATAGCCTATCAACGAGGGGTGAATGCTGATGGACTATGTCATGAATGAAATTAAGCTCTATCATAAGAGGGCCATGATGAGTTGGTACAGCTTGCCTTGATTGCATCCTCAAGCACGTGGTCCCAGGCATGTTTTTGGGCCATAATGAATGAATGATTGGCATATGAAGTATAGTCAAGGTCATTGTTGTCAGTGTGGATGTCTTGAGTGATTAAGTTTTCAGCAGTAGACAGGTCCCCAGTTACACATGCATTGCGAGCTGTTGAAATAGCCAGGATCTGCATGAAGGATGCTCAAATTATGTTATGAGAGTCAAGAATGGAAACTTGCCTTTGGATGAATACACTCGGGGACTGCCCACTCTGAGATCTTATCTTGTCCTCTGCCAAGGATGTGTTTACCATCCACAGAGAATGTGACACATGTCAGGATGTATGAATGCTGGAATATGGTGATGGTCTGTCGATCCGAGAGCCGCCAGAGACAGACATGGCTGTTTTCAGACGTGGAAACAACCAGGGTGCCAGTGGGATGATCATGAATGGCAATGGCGTAGATACTGTCAGTGTGGCCTTCCCAGGGGTGACCGACCTGCTTCCAGGTCAATGGCCCAGGATCCCACTCCCATATAGATTTACTGCCTGCTGAAAGAAGGCATCCACATGAGTGAGTTGCTGGATGACTTGAGAGATGTGACACATTCCCTCGTGTCTTGTTTATAAATTTGGATATGGTCTTGTGTTGTGATGGCAAGAAGTTCACCAGAGGACAAATATCAAATGCAGCGGATGCCACCACACTTGATTGGTTTTCCTTGCATCTGCCACATTTTGGTACACCAAAATTCCACACTTGCCAGTGAACCAGTGGTCAGTACCGCACCATCAGGAGAAAAATCTAATGACATGGTCCCATCAGAGTGGGCTTTGATGGGTCACTGGAACCTTGTTGCAAAGAATGACAAGGAACACTAAATAGATCAAATGAGAATAACAGGACGAAACCATGAGGTTCTGATTGTGTACAAAGGAGCAGGTGATCATAGTTAAGAGACCTGAGTCTGTATGATATACAGTGGCTCAAAAAACTGTCCGCATGTTTTGACATTTTTCACTATCTATGATATTGTGTGAGAACTCACAAATGCCTCAAGGACATGGTTATACCATATTGTAGTATGGCTTCAGGGCTTTCATTTGAGCCCTACACCGTGGGAATCGGTGGAGATATGGTGGAGATACAAGGCTCACAAAATGGTGACTCATGTGGACAGTTTTTTGAGCACATATTAAAACTATATAAATCATCATTTATGACACCATAACAATCATGCCACCATTAAATAAATTATAAGGTGGTGTCATTATGTCATTTTAAAACCATATCTAACTATACAAACCAAAAATTTCCATATGTCATGGTTATATTCACCATGAAAGCCACCCCCCCTGCTCAAAGGGATAATATCCTCTCTCTTTCCTATTCTGGCCTCTCTGCTTGTCAAATTTCCTCTAGAACTGGAGTATCCAAGTCCACTGTGGCCAAGTTCATCAAAGAAAGTCACACAGACAAGGAAAACTTCTGTGAAGGGCATCCATCCAAGCTCACCTCTACTGATAGGAGGGCTATTATTCAACATATCACTACAGGAAAGGCTGATAATGCTGTCCAGGTTACCTATTATGTCAATTCCACCATCACATTCCCTGTCTCTTCACACACTGTGAGAAACATTCTCAAGACAGCTCATCTCAGGTCAGTAACAAGGAAGAAAAGGCTCTCCTCTCTATCACACATATGCAGAGAGGACTAGCACCCTTCTTTTTTCACATATATACCTTGCCATCTGACCCAATCCTATTTATTGTGGTCTTATATGATCATATAACATGCTTCCAGTCCATGTAATCCAATTCTGATGGGCTAAGGCAAAGATTAGTCATCTCTGTTTATGTGTGATAGAGAGGAGAGCCTTTTCTTCCTTGTTACTGACCTGAGATGAGCTGTCTTGAGAATGTTTCTCACAGTGTGTGAAGAGACAGGGAATGTGATGGTGGAATTGACATAATAGGTAACCTGGACAGCATTATCAGCCTTTCCTGTAGTGATATGTTGAATAATAGCCCTCCTATCAGTAGAGGTGAGCTTGGATGGATGCCCTTCACAGAAGTTTTCCTTGTCTGTGTGACTTTCTTTGATGAACTTGGCCACAGTGGACTTGGATACTCCAGTTCTAGAGGAAATTTGACAAGCAGAGAGGCCAGAATAGGAAAGAGAGAGGATATTATCCCTTTGAGCAGGGGGGGTGGCTTTCATGGTGAATATAACCATGACATATGGAAATTTTTGGTTTGTATAGTTAGATATGGTTTTAAAATGACATAATGACACCACCTTATAATTTATTTAATGGTGGCATGATTGTTATGGTGTCATAAATGATGATTTATATAGTTTTAATATGTGCTCAAAAAACTGTCCACATGAGTCACCATTTTGTGAGCCTTGTATCTCCACCATATCTCCACCGATTCCCACGGTGTAGGGCTCAAATGAAAGCCCTGAAGCCATACTACAATATGGTATAACCATGTCCTTGAGGCATTTGTGAGTTCTCACACAATATCATAGATAGTGAAAAATGTCAAAACATGCGGACAGTTTTTTGAGCCACTGTACATTCGCCACTGGTGGGTTGCAGGAGCATTTCTCCTGCCTTGTGGCATCACTGTCCATTCATGTAGTCCTTTCGGCATATTGATCACGGTGTACTTGATGTCGTCAGGGTGAATGTGAGTCTGAAAGAAAGAATTTGTCATATCAATTTTCCCAAATATTTTACCTTTTGCACAATCTCACAAGATTTCATTGATGTGAGGCAACTGATGGTTGTCAGGTATTGTGTTTGTGTTCAATGCTTGGTAATCATTTACCCATCGTGGCAGTATGGTCAGGTCCTTTTTAGGTATTGGGAAGGCAGGTGAAATGAATGGGCTCGATGACAGTCGTAGTCTTCCAGCTGCAATGTGTTGGTTTAACAATGCTTCCCAAGCTTTGTGATATTTTCTGGGTGTGTTATATCTTCTGCATTGGATGATTTTGTTTGGGTCTTTAAGTCTAATTCGGTGGATGATGTCGGTTGGTAACTGGTCGATGTGCGGAATATCATCTGGGAACCTGTCTTTGTATTTACGTTGCATCTCTTTATCCAGTCAGTCTAGATGTTCCTTGTTCTTCTTGATGAAAGCAAGTCTGTCAATTCATTGCCACAAGATGGAAGCCACATTTGTGCAAACCAATGTTGTGTGTTCTGCGAGGTCATTTTTGTGACCTCCAATCACATTTTGAAGTTCATTTGCAACATCTTTACAGAGTCGTAACATCTGGTTGTGTGTTGGTATCAGTGTTGATTCACAAGTCATACATTTTGGTGGGTTCAAAAGGTCGTAATTTGAATCTTTGCTGATACACGTTTGAAGTTCATGATCTATAATAAGACAGTTATGCGATAAGAAAGGTCCTCCAAGGAGGAGCGGTACAGCAAGTCCAGGCGTGACAATCACATGTATTGTACATGATTTCCAGTCCAGATTCAGAGAGGAAGGGGACAAAAGAACATATTCCAAAAAACAGGAAGGTGATGAAGAAGAATTAATGAATGCTGAATTTGCCTCTATCTCAGCGTGTAGTTTGTGTCTTCACAGCCCAAGTTTGTCAACAACATCATTGTTAATCAGAACTAGATGTGACCCATAGTCAATCAAAGCTTTGATACATTCAAAAGAATCACAGGAGGGGCCCATCAAGAGACAGGGCCAAAAAAAGGTGGGCAGTTTCAAAAGGGGCTATGCACATATCATCTTCAGAATCTGAGCCTTCATCAAGTATTGACGATGGCATCACGGCCACTATGGGAGCCACAGTGGCGACCAGTTTAGTCTGTTTCTTGTTCTTTGACTTCGCAGCCAAGGTGTCAGCCTCCATTAACATCTTGTATGACGAGGCATCTGGTGCACCATCTGTACATTCTTTTGATTGGTGTGTGATGTAGAATTTTTGACATTTGAAACATCCCTTGTGGTCCATCAGCAGCGTGCATTCAGTTTCTGTGAGACTTCCAAGGCATGAAGAGGAGTTGTAGGGTTTTGAGGAGGATGGGTTTTTGGTATGGTTCGAGGATGTTGTGCATCTCAATGCTTTGTACAGTTCCTCCATGATCTTCTTATGAGAAGTGAGGTCCTTGAGCCATTTATCATTGAGATGCTTCACTTCTTCAATCCACTCTTTGAGGGTCAGGTTATCAGTGAGTCTTGCTCTCAGTACAGATGTAGTGAGTTCATCACATATGTTCGCCTTGAGCTGATTGTGTAACTGTGCATCTGTCAGATGCGCTGTGTTACCATAGAGCAGCACATTCTGGTTTTGTAACTGTAATGCCCATTCATAGAATGGGCAGGAGCCCTGCTGAGATCCCAAGACTTTCTTGTGAAGTTTGGTTGCCCAGTGGGTCTCAAGCCAGGTGCTCTTTAGCGCAATCATGTACGCTGTGAAGGAACCTGCATCCAAGGTAGCTCATTGCATTAAGTACCAAGTTTGTAAGTGCGGGTCTAACATCCTGAATGCTATCATTCTTACTTGATCCTGCGCTTCAATACCTTTATGCATGAAATACATAGAGCATGCATTATCCCAGTCATGAGCTGCTTCAGGGGTGAGTTCACCCACCAGGAGTTTTGGTGGTTTGTTGGGGGCAGACTGTTCCATGATGGCCAACTTAGTCATTTTGTGCACTTGGAATATATGCATGTGTTTTGAGTCTGAATCCGAAGAGGAGTTGTCAGAATATACAGTTCATGGGACGATGTGTCTTGTGGGTTTGTCATCTGAGGGTATCAATGTCAGGGGGGATGAGGGAGGTTCAGGGACAGATGGTTGTCTTTGGGTTTTTGCACACTGTCGCGTGGTCAGGGATTCAGGAACAGTAGGTTTTCTTTGTGAAGAAGACAGTTTGACAGGTTATGTAGCAGGCAGGAAGCCTGGTGGTTCAAGAGTGATGATTATGGTTTGGAGTATGGATATATGGGTTTGTCTTTGTTAAAAAAAAAGTGGAACCTTGTCGTGAAGAACAACAAGGAACACTGAATAGATCAAACGAGAATAACAGGACGAAACCACGAGGTTCTGATTTGTGTACAAAGGAGCAGGTGATCGTAGTTAAGAGACCCGAGTCTGTATGACATAACGTGAATCGGAGGAATATAAGGGGATTGACCCGAGTCTTTGATATCGTAAGCGTATAGTAAGCAGCGGGCTTACAGTCGCCAGTGGATGAGAGACTCTCCAGTTTCACCGTGCCAAGCGAAGATTCTTCCATTTTCATCACCGCTTGCGATTATTTGACCATCTCGTGATACCGCCAATGCCACCACCTGATTGCAATGCCCCTCCATCCCCTTCAACACAACCCCTGTTTTCAAGTCCCAAAGACGAAGCGTCCCGGTGTCATGGGAGGCTGTAACTATTCGTCGTCCATCGGGGAACACTGCGACTGTGGTTGCCCCTTCAAGAACTCGTAGGGGTCTGGTGCTTGGAGTTATTAATGTCGATGTTAACATTTCGGTCGATAATGACGAACCCATTGTAGGTATCTCTCTCTAAGCTGCAGAGGTGCGTGTATCGTGCGTTTTATGCTACCCCACCACGCTAACATGCTTCATTTCCAAGACACGAGGCAGCTCGCTATCACTGTTTCAGCAAGAATGCTTCCTACGAGTCATAACCACCTTCCTCGACAGTGTACCTCCCTGGCGCCTCTGCACTGCGTACATGTATCCGACTCTCATCTCCACATCTTCTAGAATGTATCTCCTCGCATTCGATTGCGACAGTGTAGTTTCTATATCCAGACGCTCGAACGCTATTTATCCTAAATGGCTGTATGAATATGGTGTCTAGTAGCCACTCCACCTTATCTGAATGTAGGTGTATAAATCACCTCTTCACCCCGTCGATTTCAAAGAGC